GACAAAGCTTTAGAAAATTTAGGAGAATTAATCACAAGACAAACAAGGTGGCTTTATCCTAGAGATGCATGCATGGCTTACCATACATAATAAATGAATCATAATATATATTATATAGTAATACAATATAACATCATATGATATGATAACATAAAATTATAATAGGATTATTAATAAACAATATAATGGAATTAAGGACATAAATCACTCTATAGAAGTTGAAAAGTCCCCTAAAAATGGCTCAGAGAACATTGTGAAAAAGGGGCAGAAATTTTGGAAGAGACAGAGGTCTGGGGGTTGTCCTGAGATTATATCGACTAATATCAGAAGTTACACCTACAAAGTCTCAGCAACATGATTGCCCAAACGTGAGCTGAACAGAGAAAACAAAAATGAATATGCCACATAGGACTGGGAAAATCTGAATTTGACTGTACCCTACTCAAAGAAATACAGACTAATATAGAATGAAGAGCGTAATAAGTAGAAATAGCCTTCTATTGTTGATTTTCTGGTGACAAATGGTCAGCCCTGAATACATGCATGAAAGGAATATACAGACTGAGCAGGTTATATTTATGGATTTAGGAAAATGTATCTATAAACATGTACATATATATATATATATCAGCAATTAATGAAAAAGGAGCCATAAATTTAAAGGAGACAAGTAGAGTATATGGCACTTATACTAATGATTTAATCATGTTATAATCTTAAAATAAGAAAGTATAATAAAATTCAATACAATACTACCACAAAATGGACATATAGATGAATAGCACAAGGTAGAAGACCCAAATATGAGTACTCATTACATAGTACCCTCAGATATTTGACAAAAGACAAAAATTTACACTGAAAAAATAACAGCACCTTCAACAAATGATGGCAACCTCAGATATCTATGTGCAGTGCAACTAAAGTAAACCCACATCTACCACCCTGCCTAATGAAAGGATCCAAGTGGTCCATGCTCTAAATGAGAGCACTGAAACCTCTAGAAGAAAACATAGGCAATAGCATAAAAGGTACAATTGTAGGAAAAGGACATTCTGAGCAAGATTATGCTTGCCAAGTAATTATGACAAAGAACTGACAAAGAGGACCTCACAAAACTGATGTTTCTGAACTGCTAAAGAAAAATCAGTGGAGTGAGGAAAAAATGCATAGATAAGAAGAGATCCATGGCCAAATCTATATCTGACTGTGAATTGACATCTACAATGAGTATAAACCTCTGAAAACAGTTCAGGAAGCAAACGTCCCAGTTACAGACTTGGGTGGAAATCTAAACAGATTGTTATAGAGAGAAGAAAAATTAGCAAAGAAATAACCTCAAAAGGTGTTGATCACACTTGGTATTCATAGAAAGGCAAGTTAACAACTTTGACATTTCATCTTACCAAAATCAGATGATTTGGTAATGCTAAGATAAATAATAACAACAGTAAAATCCACAAACAAAAAAGCAATAACCAAACAAACAAACAAAAACAAACCTGACCCATAAAACAAAAAGTCCACTACAGTGTGAGTCACAGCTCATGAAAATTGCAATCACTGAGTTCTTTGTAAGACTTGCAGGCCACTCAATTCATCTAAGAATGTTCTCAACTGAGAAACGGTTGCTTCTTTTTTATTATTCTCTCATACATTATATCATAAATGCATTTCTTCCTTCCTCCTCCTCTCAAGTCCACCCCACCCCAGCTTTATCTCCTACCTTCATTTTCTTCATGGCAAAAGAATCTCACCCACTACAAAATATGGAAAGTTCTACATCTTGGTCAGATCTCTATAATTAAGGATACTTCTTGCCATCTCAAAAAAAATCTTATTCTATGAAAAATCATACATCCACATTAGGATTCTGAAAAATGATTTGGGGTGATTCTATCAATTTATGTATTCCTCTTTGTGATGAGAACAATTCAAATCTCCCTTCCTTCCCTTCTGCTATCACTGTGTTGGTAAAGATTATTGAGCCTAGTGTCTTAGCAATACTTCATTTGAGAATTTTGCATTAAAGTTCTTACAGTGGTAGCATGCATTCCAACAGCTTGAACTCATGTCATTCCTCTGCTGTTCCTTATTTCTGATACTATGGCCTCAATAAAGTACTGTGAATGGATTTCTATCTAATTTTTCTCCTTAGGCATTTTAACAAGTGCCTTTCTTCTTTCTCTATGCCAGGGGTTGTCAACCTGTAGATTGTGACCACTTTGGAGAATTAAATAACCCTTTCATTGGGGTCACATATCAGATATCCTGCATATCAGGTATTTACATTATGATTCATAACAGTAGTAAAATTAGAGTTGAGGAGTATGATCAAAAATAATTTTATGTTTGGGGATCACCACGACATGAGGGATTGTATAAAAGGATCAATACTTTAGCAAGGTTTAGATCCACTGCTCTATGCTTTCATGGAGTAAAAATTCCTGGCAAAAAGCAATGGAAACCTCAATCTCTACATAAGTTATTTTATGAAGATGTTGGAGTGGTCACTTCCTTTGGGGGCTGGATTGCCTTCTAGTTGTTATCTGAGAATAAGCAATGATTAAGGTAGATCTCTTGGAAAATAAAGTACTTTGAATAATGCTTGCCAAATTCAACCCATCTCTCCAGTTTATAATATGAGGATTTGATCCTTTTTTTTCAGCAGAAGCACACCAGTTTACAATGGGGAACAAGAGGATCCTGTGTGGTTTTATTTGCTTACCAATTTTCCTCAGAATCCTCTGCCCATAGTATAACTTCCATCCACATGTCTAAAGTTTGGGTCTGACTTCGATGGTTTTCGATAGGAGAAACACTGAAAATTTATAAGGCAATGCATGTGCATGGTTGGGTTCTTCAAAATGGGAGAAACAGAAGGGTGCTAGTGCCTCCTAGTGGGCAGTGACCATGGATGCTACTAATTTATCTGCATTGCACAGTGTGGTCTCCTTATTCCCCAAATCCCAGACAATTCAGTGGTGACAGAGGTCTCTTTCCAACCTTCAAGGCTGTGTTAATGATAAAGATCACAGAGTGGAGATATGGTTTCTTTTGTTTGTAGGTGTGAGCTTATTTATCAACTTCCTTGCAACCTGGATTTGGCCATGTGCAACTTAAACTCTGTGTGTACTCTCTTCTGCCTTTGTTTGTAAAGAGTATCTGCATTATGATCTTGGCCCACAGATTTCTAGAAATGAAGACCTTCAAAACAGGAGTGCATTTGTAGAATAGAGGAGGCCATAAGCAGGTGACAAACCCTGGGAAAATGAAATGAATGTTTTATTTTAAATGAGTATATGACCAGAGAGAGTATGTTTATGTTTACGTAGAAAGTATCTCAAATGAGTACTCCGAAACATGTTACTGATAAAGGACTCTCAGCTAAGGTCGTCATATGTTGATTTATCGAGACAATCGAGGGCTTAACTCTAGTCTGTGGTTTAATCAACCACATCTCGTACAACAACATAAAGATGCTAATGACTGAAAGCACGGCCATCAGGAAACCCAATGGGAGCACGTGAGTTTTCTGCTTCCTTAGCAGATCATCTTTCCCAACGGGAAACGCTGGTGGGAAATCAAGGGTGCTGTTACCGTAAATGTCTGCAACAGCTCACATCCAAAACTGTGCAAATGGTGTTGACAATCAGAAACAATATGGAGGGTTTATAGCACAGCATCATGAAATCAGGGTACGGGGCTCTGATCCAGCAGACAATAATGGCCAATGAGGTGAAAATAAGGACTATGGGCTGCATAAAATTAATCAAGAATATCAGGCCCCGTGCATATTCAATTTCTATTGAAATGGTCCAGTTTGAGTTCATAGCACTGTGCATGGACACCCTGGTTGTTAAACCCGATTTTTTGACTTCTTCATAATAGTAAGCTTCTCACAGTCAAATGTACACCAGGTGTGGAGCCTTGTTGTTGAATTCCCACAGACACCAGTATCTACTAGTAGCTAGGCTTATTCCAAAACCCCAGACAATAAAGCTGCAAATGAGGCATGCCAGTCTGAAGATCCACACCTTCACTTCAGCAGAACTGTAGGTGATGTCAGAGAAGTGTGGAATCAACCAGGAACATCAGGAAAAAGAGAAGACACAGCATGAGGCGTTGATAGAGCACTCTAAATAGGCATTTTGTTTCACCTGTCTAAAGTTGCATTTAAGATATATGTATGTATGTGTGTATGTATGTGTATTAATCATGTACATAACTGTAGATAAGAACAAAAAAAGAGGTTGGAGACTGCTCAGTGGTTAAGAGCACTTGCTGTTCTTGCAAATGACTAGATGGTTTGGCAGCACTCTCCTAGGGAAGTTCACAACCACCTCCAGGGGATACAATGCCCACTTCTGGCCTCCAAGGACATGGCATCCACATGTACATTCCCCCACAGACACATAAGTGTATAATAAAAGGAAATAAAATAAAACATTTCACCATTATTATTTGAAATTTTGGGGTGTTTTGCTTGCATGTACATCTCTGTGCCTCATGTGTACCTGGTCTCTGTTGAGTCCAGAAGAGAGTGTCAGACACTGGAACTGGACTGAACAGGTGGTTGGGAACCACTATGTTGCTGCTGAGAGCTGAACTACAACCATCTCAAAGATGAGCCGGTGAACTCACTTGTATTTATGAAATATACGTGACTTGTTTATGTACCCAAAGAAGTATGTTCATTTTTAATTTTCCAAGATGCACACAAAACAGTAGCTCCAAGGAGACCAGTTGTCTATCCAATTGGCTTTGGAAGGCACTGACATTCCTTTTTGTATATTTGTTAAAAAATTTAAGATTTTTATTAAATAAAGCTATAGAGATTTTAGTAATTAAAATCAGAATGGGCATGACCTTGAAGATCTATTTAAAAATGTATTTGTTGAATACAGTTAGGTGGTATATAGTCATTGCCTAGTATTTGCTGGACCCTGATTTCTATCACCCATAAAACGTCTACACGCGCACGCACACACACACACAAACACACACACACGCAATGCATAACACAAAGAAATGATGACAACCTTCATGAATTATTTTGTCTCTATCGCATGTTCAAATTTCTATCCTTGGATAACCAAATTCACTTCATTAAGGCATGTTGACATATTTTACATGAGCAAATATTTTCTGTGAAACAAAATTACACTTCTTTTTTGTTTTTTTAGACAGGTTTTCTCTGTGTAGCTTTGTCTTTCCTGGAACTCACTCTGTAGACCAAGCTGGCCTTAAATTCACAGAAATCTGCCTGCCTCTGTCTCCCAAGTGCTGGCATTAAAATTGTGGGCCACCACTTCTCCGTCTGCAAAATTACACTTAAAAATGACATGTGAAACATGTAATCAAGATATCTTATTAGTTCAAATCTTTGTGTGCAAGTGAAAATGATCAGGAGAAAATTTTGTCCCAGGGATCTCAGCTGGGTTGTTTTGCAGAAAGGGAAAAGATGGATTATTCCATTCAGTAGAAATGTGAACTGTGTCAGGGGTTGCATCGGAAGAAGGCTTCAGGGAACCAAAAACTGTATTTCCTGGCCAGAAACATTTTCTCTCACATACCCACTATGCTCCTAACTGAGTGAAGTCACAGATGTCCTACTTGAAAAGTTACACTAACAAGATGGATTTGGAACTGATAACCAGCTTGGTTAATGCTCTGTTTGTAGAAGAGCTCTAAGGGGTCAGGATTCAACTTGCTGAAGACTTTATGCTTTCCATGTCTGAAACCTGTATGGTGGATGCATGTTTATCCTTCAGAGAACAAATTTGAAAGTCACAGTATAGGTTTCTCTTTACATCTTATCTCCGCATGTTATAGGTGAATTTATATATTTGGAAGATGGATCCAGGTGGTCTTACCTACTTAGTAGTAATAGGAAATGTTGAACTGGGCAGGGAATTATGGGAGAAAATGAAGCATCTGAAAGGAAAAAATTAAAAAGTAGTACCATGAGCCAGAGTGTGAACCACATAACAAATCCTCATCAATCCCTCGAACACAAAACCATTCAGTTCTATGCATTTGCATAAGGTTTTTAAAGCAAATACTCAATAATAAAACTCTCCATCCTCCAAGCCCTAATCCCTAATTCAGACACTATCTCCAATCTCAAAGGAAAACTTTGTTTTCTCCAAAGGAGTTTCACTGTGTGTACAAAGGACCCCCATGCTCAGCAGAAGATGGCAACACAAAATGAACTCACAGGCATCTTTGGGAGGTTCCTAGTTGCATAATGCTTTGAAACAACATTCTGTTTCTTCTTTTTTACACCCCCCTTTTTTAACCTTACATGTCTCTTTTTGTTTCCAATGTTGAGCATTTATGGGATTTCTATGTGTACCTATGTGTATGCCTCTGCATCTATATGTGTTTCTTCTTTGACTCTTTCTCATGGTAGATTCTTTGCTTCATCCCACTCAGGTTTGTTTGTTTTATTTTATCTTATTATTATGAGATGTCTGCGTGTATTCCACTGAGAGAGAATGTGTGTCAATTTGGGTAGATGGTGAGTCTGGGAGGATCTAGGAAGAGTTGCGGGAGGGGAATGCAAACCAGATTGTATTGTATGAAAAACTTTTCAATGTAAAGTCTTTCAACCTCATTAAAGTGAAACAATATTCATATATCTATGATCTTAAACATTCATAGGTTAGGAACAATCTGCAAAATAGTCAAATAATATATTTGAATTCAATAATGTACAATGATATAATGGAAAATCCAGTTTCCTAATAGGTCACAAACAAATGCAGTGCTCCCTGGTTTTGCTAATAGTGGATGGATTTTATTCAAATAGAAAGATTGTCAATACATAAATGAATCATTTGTTATATGCACTCGGGGGCAACAGTGGTCATCTCTATGTCCTATAAAAAGGAACGTGATGAGTGATGGAAACTTGTAAACAATGTAAAATACTTTCTTCCTTATGTCAGCTTAAATAAAACGTGGTGTGCACAGTATGTTTTTTTTCTAAGAAGAATAACACAGGACTGCAAGTGAAGGCTTGAGATAGTTAAAACCTTTCTGCATTGCCAGTGGAAAACGAAGTAGTCATCCCTCACAGGCTAAAACAGAGAATTCCCATGAGATGTATCATTTCAGTTTTTGGGCCTTTTCCCCAAAGAATTCAAGAATCTTCTTGAACACATGTTCATTTAGCAACATCCATGGCAATATTCACAGTAAGAAAAGGTGCCATCCATGTGTATGTTCCTTGATGGCTGAAGGCATATACAAATCTGAAGGAGGAAATGTTGACACATTATTTACTATGTGAAATTTTGGAGAACATAATAGTAATTGAAAGGTGAAAATCACAAACGAATCAATATCACATCATTTCACACATATAAGATACCTGGTAGAGTAAGATCTGTAGGGATGGAAAGTACAGTAAGGGTTACCAGAGACTGGGAAGTGAGTGAGGATAAATCTTCAGGTGAGGAAGACCAAAATGTTCCAGAAGCATCTATAAAAAATCAAATGACCTTATGTCACTGAACTGTATGCTTTAAAACCAAGACAGTCAGCTTTCTGTTATATCTATTGCCACAGTAAACCTGCACATTCCCAAAAGGTAGGAAGGTGGGGAGGATCTGGGAAGAATTGAGGGAGGGGCAAATCATGACTAAAATTCAATGCAGGAAAAAATTTGATAAAAGAAAACTTAATAAAAATAGTTTACAAAGCTCTAAGATTGACTCAATATATAAAAGGAAAGAGCCTATAGATTGGCAAACACCATCATTTACATTATTGAGTCATAATTTAAGTATTTCATTTTCTGGTACATATTCAATGGCATGACTTTTACATATACAGAAGATATGATGGTATGCTTCACGTGACCCAATGCTGCAATTTATTTCTTTTCAAAGGGTCTTTCAGAAAGGCTTACCTAAAGATGGAGATCCTGGGAGATAGTATTGAAAATACAAGGACTGCTGTAATTCAAGTTCAATATGGACTTAGATGAGCAGGTTTGGGACACCATCTAAAGGTGTTGAAGTTCTTCCTGAAGACCATTAGCTGTTTAGACTAAATGGACACCCAAGAAGTCTCAAGACACTCAAAGTTATCTTCTAGGATGGACAAATTTCAGGGGTTTCTTAGTACAGAGAAATATGTAACTCTAAACATTCTAATGTTTCCATGGCTACTGGGTCTAGATGGTAGATTCTGAGCAATGAAAATATTCTAAGACTAGTAAATGTTCCCTTTAAAATGTTGAGACATCTTTCTCAGTAAGAAATATTGTTTATAGTTCCATATCAAATAACCAGTGTAATTTATGAAGTTCATGAAAAGGAAATTTGATTAAAAATTAAAGAAAAGTACTATTAGTATTACTATTAATATTTAATATATTATGGAATAAAATTATCACCTACAACAGAGTTACTTTGTCAGCTAAATACTACTGCGGTTGAGACAGTGCATTTTTCTCAGTGGACTGGTCCTTGTTAAGATGTCTACACTATAGTAGAGGATCCAGAATCCAAGAATAGAAGAATAGAAACAATTAGAGTCTATGGTCTATATACAGGGAACATTAAGTTCAGATAAGGATGCTATGTGGAGGATCAAGGAAGAGTGACAGATTAGTAGAAAAAAACACATTGTACACATAATTCTTAAATAAACAAATACAATAATAAATTTAAAAATGAAACGAAAGAGCAGAAATCCCACAGTGGATTGAAAGAAATCTAGTCCACTTTAAAAGCCAATGTCTTTTTCTGAAAAAAAATCACATCAACCTCCTCGAATTTCTTAGCTATAAAATCAAGACTGATTAATGAAAATAGCTATAGTTCTCAAGGGAGATGTTTCTTTATTTGCAACCATATCTCTTCCTTTCCATGTATATTTTACTTGAAGTATGATGATCACATGCTTAATTTGATGGTTGCAAAATCCTACATTTTTTCATAAATATGACCAAAATTCAAGAAAATACTTTCGTATATACCCATAGTCATTGTAAACCAGAGATAAAAGTGAGCAAAGAGGGGAGGATAGATCTTATTACTATTTTATGAATTTCTTCTTACTTCCTACTTTTTATAAATGAAAATTTTCCAAGCAGAAAATACACAGCACTTAAGTATGCAGCTCAATAAATGAGCACATTTTTATGTGTCCAGATACTTACGTAGGGTTCAAGAAACAGAACGTTCAATGAAAATCAGTCAAGGTAATCCATCATAAAAACAAACTGAAAGAAAAATAAACCACACGACCATCTCATTAGATGCTGAGAAAGCATTTGATAAAATCCAACTCACTTCATTATAAAAGCCTTGGAGAGAATAGGGAAAAAGGGATATATCTAAACATAATAAAGGCAATTTAAAGCAAGATGACAACCAACATCAAATTAAATGTAGAGAAACTTAAAGCAATTCTCCTAAAATAAGGAACAAGTGAAGACTGTTCACTCTTTCCTTATCTATTTAATATAGTACTTGAAATTCTAGCCACAGCAGTATGACATCTGAATGAGATCAAAGGAATAAAAGTTGGAAATGAAGAAATTATTATTACTGGTAGATGATATGATAGTATACATAAGCGATCCCAAAAATCCTACAAGAGACTCCTAGAGCTGATAAGTATCCTCAGTGAAATGACAAGACACAAGATTAATAAAACCACTAGCTCTTCTATACACAAATGGCAAATGAAATAAGAAAGAGGTCAGGGCAACAACATCCATCAGAATAGCCACAAACAGTTTAAATATCTTGGGGGTAACCCTAACCTGTTAGAAAAATACTTAAAGTCTTTGAAGAAAAATTGAACAAGATATCAGAAGATGGAAATATCTCCTAAGCTCTTGGATTGGTAGGATCAATGTATAAAAAACGGCCATCTACTTAAAATAATCTACATATTCAACACAATACCAATCACAATTCCTACACAATTCTTTTCAGACATTGAAATACAATTCTCAACTTCAAATGAAAAAAAAAAACTCAGTACACCTAAAACAATCCTGAACAATAAAAGAAATTCTGATGGTATCATCATCCCTAATTTCAAGCTGTAGTATAGAGATTAAAAACTGCAAATCATTGGCATAAAAACAGACCTGTTGATCAATGGATTCTAACTGAAGTTCCAAACATGAATCTACATACCTATGGACACCTGGATTTTGACAAATATTCCAGAAAGACACGTGAAAATAAGAATCTTTAACAAACGCTGCTAGTATAACTGGATGTCTGCATATAGAAGAATGCAAATGTATCTATAGTTATCACCCTGCACAAAACACAAGTCCAAGTGGATCAAAGACCTCAACATAAATCCAGACATACTGAACTTGATAGAAGAAAAAGTAGAGGATAGTCTTGAATGCATTGTCACAGCGATCCACCTGCCTCTGCCTCCCAAGTGCTGGGATTCAAGGTGTGTGCCACCGCTGCCCAGCCTGAGCTGAATTTTAGGCAGATATGTTGGTGAGATTTTTGGTGTGTGTCTTCTAACATTAATAGGAGACTCAATCTTACAGTCAACCCTCTGATCCTCTGCATCTTACAGTCTTTACACTCTCCCTTCTGTAATGATCCCTGAGCTGTAGGTATAGAAGCAGTATTATAGATGTATCCATTAGAACTTGGCTCCACAACTGTATTTTTAGTTGATTGTGATTTTCTCTAATGGTCTCCATCTGTTGCAAAGAGAAATTTATTTTATGATGGATAATCTCTAAGTGTGTGTGTGTGTGTGTGTGTGTGTGTGTGTGTGTGTGTGTGTGTTAATGTGAGGACTACAGCTAGGGGTATCAGATGACAGAGAACATGTGATGTTTGTCTTTCTATATCTTGGTTACCTCATTCAATTTGGTGTTTTATAATTTCACGCTTTTATGTCCGCCTTCCTTGATTTTATTTTTCGTTACAGTTGAATAGTATTCCATATTTTAAGTGCTCCACATTTTCATTATCCACACATTAGTTGTAGAACATTTAAGTTGTTTTCAATTCCTCGATATTGTGAGTAGAGCAACAATGAATAAAGCCAAGCAAGTATCTGTGGAGTAGGGTGTTCAGTCATTTGGGGATATGTCAAGGAGTGGCATAGCTATGTCATATGATACACACACACACACACACACACACACAGACGCACGCGCACACACACACACACACACACACTCACATGTATATTCTAGCTTTTAGAGAATTATTTACACTGAATTCCATAGTGACTGTACAAGTTTGGAATTCCACCAAGAATAAATCTCTGCCACATCATGTCCAGTCTTCATTTTCTATTGTTTATTTACCTTTGAAATTATGAATGGGGTTACATGAAATCTCAAAATTGTTTGGATTTTTGCTTTTCTAACTACTAGTGATTGAAAGACCCTGGCCCAGTCTAAACAGGCAGCTGAGGCTTATGGAAAATTCCGTTTCCCCCACAGCTGAATAGTCATTGCTATCAGAAGGGAGCTCAGCCCAAGGTCCCCACAGCTGAATAGTCATTGCTATCAGAAGGGAGCTCAGCCCAAGGTCCCCACAGCTGAATAGTCATTGCTATCAGTAGGGAGCTCTGCCCAGGGACACAGGCTGCCGGGTGTCTGCGGGCGACCGGATGGCCAGCCCAGCAGGGTTGAGCAAACACAGAGACCAATTGTTCCTCAGATAGGGCCAAGGCCGAGACTTGAGTTCCAAGAAAAACCTCAATTGCCCGCGCTCTGAGCCCTAGCCTCATTTAAATTGCCCAATCAGGGTCCTGTTACTAGGCTTCTCGCTTCTGTACTGCGCTTTTTGCTATAAAAGAACCCCTGAGTCCCCAGCTCGGCGCGCTCAGTTCCCCGAGACTGAGACGCCCGGGTACCCGTGTGTTACTAATAAAGCCTCTTGCTGTTGCATCCAAGCTCGTGGTCTCGTTGTTCCTTGGGTTCGGGTCTCCCTTCCGTGAAAGTATCCCTGTTGGGGTCTTTCATGATGAAGAACTTTCAAAAAGATTCAGAATTTTTCTGAGATATATGTATTCTCTATCTATCATTTAATTCTCCTATATAGTTCCAAGGATAATTTTATGAATGTGTCACACATCTTAAAGCTTCATTTTGACTTCTTTATACATTTTGGATATTAATCCTTAGACACATGTATAGATGTTAAAATTACTTCTCTTGCTATGGGCTTTCTCTTCACTCAATTGTTTGCTTCTTTAACTCCATAGAATATTCTAGCTTAGTGAATTTACACTTGTCAATTGTTTATCTTAATTCCCAGGTGACATGTTAATCTGCAATTAACCTCTATTAGACTGTCTGCTGGGAGCCATGGATGAAGAATTAACCTGTGTGGTTGTACTTTTTTCATCTAAAATATGGGTCATTGATACATTTCGCTTTAGGGGGAGTCCTTTCTTTCACTTATGTATGCAATGATGAAGGCATTATGGTCCAAGCTTTAGTTCCAAAGCAGTGGGTACACAAGCCTGGATAAGCTCATTGGGTCACACAAAATTCCCAAAAGATCTGAATCTAACTAAGGGGTCTATTAAGTTGAGGGGTTTGAGAAGCTTAGGATATAGATATGAGATGTCTAAGATAAGAGGAAACAGAATTATTTATATATGTTGGAATTGTCAAAGATAAACTTTTTGGTAGAAATGTGTTACTGGGTATATATGGGACAAATTATCTGTTTTGAAAAGGAAGAAGGAAATAGTTGTAACTTGTTGAATGAATCGTGCAACTTGAGACACTCTGTGTATCTATTTTCAAGGACATGGACCCCCTAACTACCACATAGTGCTTCTTAGAGACAAACCCAAAACCGAATGTTAACTTTTGTGACATTTCTGTATATGTGATTTTTCCCCAAATCTGCAATTCTAGAATCATAGTAGAAGAGAAATCAATTTGAATATTTCTTGTGCATTTGTTTCATGTTATCACTGAGTAAGAATGAGAGGAGAATCCACATTATAATCCAATTGCTGACTAATGATGTTTTTCTGTTTGCTGACCTTCTCAAAACATCATTTTCTTTCTACAGTTTCTCAAGAGCTGTGCCAATATTTACCTTGATTTGATACCCAGGATCAATCTTGACAGAAGAAGACACGTGCATGATTTCATATTTCCCAATCATTTATGTAAGAATAACATTATTCTTACAATTTTGCCAGCACACAGCCATTTGATAGAAACATTGCAATATATTTATTATGTTATCTAACTAGAGTTTTATTTTATAATGTGACTTGTAACATGACCATTTTATTCTATTATTTTCTGTATGTATTTGTATCCACTGATAAATATTTGTGAAGTTCATTTTTAATTAATTCTACTAGGGATTTCTTTATACATTCTGAGTATATGTGCTGTTATAAAAGATGTTTTATATCTTCTCGAAGGGTTTGAATTTTCTTTTAACCATTTCTTCAATATATCTTAAAGTTCAAAAAATCTAAAATTTGTTAAGGTTAACATCTTTCCATCGGCCTCTGTCCTTCAAAAGACAATGCATACATGCCAGCATCCAGTTATGCCAGCACCATTTGTTGAAAATGCTTTCTTTTATTCCATTGCATAATTTTAGATTCTTTGTCACAAATAAGGTGTTCATAGGTTTGTGGGTTAATATCGAGGTTTTTCAATTGCATTCCATTGGTCTATCAGTCTATTTTTGTGCCAATACCAAGCTGTTTTCAGGACTACAGCTCTATAATACAACTTGAAGGCAGGGATGGTGATGCTATCCTGGGTATTTAACTCTTCCATATAAAATGGATCATTGTTCTTTCAGGGTCTGTGAAGAATTGTGCTGGGATTTTGATAGGGACTGCATTGAATCTGTAGTTTGCTTTTGGCAAGATTGCTAATGTAGTAAAAATCTATGTTGATTCGACCTACTGAAGAGCATGGGAGATCTTTCTATTTTCTTTTATCTTCTTTAATTTCTTTCTTTAAAGTTTTAAATTTCTCATTATACAGGTCTCTTCTTAGTTGTGCCTTTGTGTGCTTTCAGTACCAAGCTTATTGAAGCCTAGTAAAAAATGTTTGGCAAAGACTCTTCTACTTCTATTGTGTGGAATACTTTGTGGATAACTGGTACCACCTATTCTTTGAATTTATGGTAAACTTCTACTCTGAAACCATCTGGGCCTATGCTTCTTTTAGTTGGGAGACTTTTGATTACTGATTCTATTTCAGTTGCTTATCTATTTTTGAGTTAATTTGTTTAAGTGATACCTATGTAGAAAATTGTCCATTTCCTTTAAATTTTTGAAATTTGTCGAATATAGGTTTTTATTTATGACCTGATGATTCTCTGAACTTCCTCATTGTCCTTTGTTGCGTCCTTGTTTTCATTCTGATTTTGTTAATTTGCATGTTCTTTCTATGCCTTTTGAAAGTTGGATAAAGATTTGTCTATATTGTTGATTTTGTTGAAGAACCAACACTGTTACATTGATTCTTTGTATTGTTTTGGTAGTTTTTACTTTATTGATTTCAGCCCTCAGTTTGATTATTTCCTGACATCCACCCCTCAGGGGTGAGTTTGTTTCTTTTCATTCTAGAGCTTTCTAGAGCTGTTAACTCTCTAGTGTGACTATTCTCCAGTTTCTTCATTTGATCATTAATGCTATGACCTTTTCTCTTAGTATTGCTTTCAAAGTCTTCTATTAGTTGGGTATGTTATGGCTTAATTCTCACCGAATTTTAGGAAGTGTTTATTTTTATTTTTTATTACTTTCTTATCCTAGGAATGGTGCAATTGCCCATTGTTCAATTTATATGACTTTGTAGGGTTTTTGCATTTTTTGTGTTGTTGTTGAATTCTAAC